AACAAACAGCCTCTCAGACCATAGTGCAATCAAGTTAGAACTCAGAATTCAGAAACCAACCCAGAACCACACAGCTTCATGGAAACTGAACAACTGGCTCTTGAATGTTGACTGGATAAACAATGAAATGAAGGCAGAAATAAAGAAGTTCTTTGAAACCAATGAGAATGAAGACACAACGTGTCAGAATCTCTGGGACACATTTAAAGCAGTCTCTAGAGGAAAGTATATAGCAGTAAGTGCCCATATGAGAAGAATGGAGAGATCCAAAATTGACACCCTATCATCAAAATTGAAAGAGCTAGAGGAGCAAGATCAAAAAAACTCAAAACCCAGCAGAAGACAAGAAATAACTAAGATCAGAGCTGAACTGAAGGAGATTGAGACAAGAAAAATCCTCCAAAAAATCAATAAATCCAAGAGTTGGTTTTTTGAAAAGATCAACAAAATAGACAGACCCCACTAGCCAGATTGATTAAAAAGAAAAGAGAGAACAACCAAATAGATGCAATAAAAAAAGATAAAGGGGAAATCACCACAGATTCCACAGAAATTCAAACCATCATCAGAGAATATTACAAACAACTCTATGCACATAAACTAGTAAACCTGGAAGAAATGGATAAATTCCTGGACTCCTGTGTCCTCCCAAGCCTAAACCAGGAGGAAGCTGAAAATATGAATAGACCAATAACAAGGGCAGAAGTCGAGGCAGCAATTAAGAGCCTACCACACAAAAAAAGCTCAGGTCCAGATGGGTTCACAGCCGAATTCTACCAGACACACAAAGAGGAGCTGGTACCATTTCTTCTGAAACTATTTCAAATAATAAAAAAAAAAAGGAATCCTTCCCAAATCATTCTATGAGACCAATATCATCCTGATACCAAAACCCGGCAGAGACCCAACGAGAAAAGAAAACTTCAGGCCAATATCCATGATGCACATGGATGCAAAAATCTTCAATAAAATATTGGCAAGCCGATTGCAACAGCAAATCAAAAAACTTATCATCATGATCAAGTAGGATTCATCCCGGGGATGCAAGGCTGGTTCAACATATGCAAGTCTATAAACGTAATTCACCACATAAACAGAACCAAAAACAAAAACCACATGATTATCTCAATTGATGCAGAGAAGGCATTTGACAAAATTCAACAGCCCTTTGTGCTAAAAACCCTCAATAAACTCGGTATCGATGAAATGTATCTCAAAGTAATAAAAGCTATTTATGACAAACCAACAGCAAATATCATACTTAATGGGCAAAAACTGGAAGCATTCCCTTTGAAATCCAGCACTAGACAAGGATGCCCTCTGTCACCACTCCTATTCAATATAGTACTGGAAGTTCTAGCCAGAGCAATCAGGCAAGAAAAAGAAATAAAGTGTATTCAAATAGGAAAGGTGGAAGCCAAATTTTCTCTATTTGCAGACGACATGATAGTATACCTAGAAGACCCCATGGCCTCAGCCCAAAAACTCCTGAAACTGATGAGCAACTTCAGCAAAGTCTCAGGATATAAAATCAATGTGCAAAAATCACAAGCATTCCTCTACACCAATAACAGACTTAAAGAGAGCTAAATCAAGAACGAACTGCCATTCACAATTGCTACAAAAAGAATAAAATACCTTGGAATACAACTCACAAGTAACATAAGGGACCTCTTCAAGGAAAACTACAAACCACTGCTGAACGAAATCAGAGAGGACACAAACAGATGGAGAAACATCTCATGTTCATGGTTAGGAAGAATTAATATCATGAAAATGGCTATACTGCCCAAAGTAATTTACAGAATCAATGCTATTCCTATCAAGCTACTATTGACTTTCTTCACAGAACTGGAAAAAACCACCATGAACTTCATATGGAACCAAAAGAGAGCCCGCATAGCCAAGTCAATTCTAAGCAAAAAGAACACAGTGGGGGGCATCACACTACCGGATTTCAAACTATACTACAAGGCTACAGTAATCAAAACAGCATGGTACTGGTACCAAAACAGAGATATAGACCAATGGAACAAAACAGAGGCATTGGAGGCAACACAACATATGTACAACATACAATCTTTGATAAACCTGACAAAAACAAGCAATGGGGAAAGGATTCCCTGTTTAATAAATGGTGTTGGGAAAACTGGCTAGCCATGTGCAGAAAGCAGAAACTGGACCCCTTCCTGACACCTTACACTAAAATTAACTCCAGATGGATTAAAGACTTGAACATAAGACCTGGCACCACAAAAACCCTAGAAGAAAATCTCGGCAAAACCATTCAGGACACAGGAGTAGGCAAGGACTTCATGACCAAAACACCAAAAGCATTGGCAACAAAAGCCAAAATAGACAAATGGGACCTACTCAAACTCCACAGCTTCTGCACAGCAAAAGAAACAGTCACTAGAGTGAATCGGCAACCAACAGAATGGGAAAAAATGTTTGCAGTCTACCCATCTGACAAAGGGCTGATATCCAGAATTTACAAAGAACTCAAACAGATTTACAGGAAAAAAACAAACAAGCCCATTCAAAAATGGGCAAAGGATATGAACAGACACTTTACAAAAGAAGACATACATGAGGCCAACAAACATATGAAAAAATGCTCATTATCACTGGTCATTAGAGAGATGCAAATCAAAACTACATTGAGATACCATCTCACGCCAGTTAGAATGGTGATCATTAAAAAATCTGGAGACAGCAAATGCTGGAGAGGATGTGGAGAAATAGGAACACTTTTCCACTGTTGGTGGGAGTGTAAATTAGTTCAACCATTGTGGAAGACAGTGTGGCGATTCCTCAAGGCCTTAGAAATAGAAATTCCATTTGACCCAGCAATCCCATTACTGGGTATATATCCAAAGGACTATAAATCATTCTACTATAAGGACACATGCACATGAATGTTCATTGTAGCACTGTTTACAATAGCAAATACCTGGAACCAACCCAAATGCCCATCGATGAAGGCTGGATTGGGAAAATGTGGCACATATACACCATGGAATATTATGCAACAATCAAAAATGATGAGTTTGTGTCCTTTGTAGGGACATGGATGAATCTGGAGAACATCATTCTCAGCAAACTGACACAAGAACAGAAAACCAAACACCGCATATTCTCACTCATAGGTGGGTGATGAAAAAAGACAACACATGGACACAGGGAGGGGAGCATCACACACTGCGGTCCATTGCGGGGACTAGGGGAGGGACAGCTGTGGGTAGGGACATTGGAGAGGGATAATATGGGGAGAAATGCCAGATATAGGTGACAGGGTTGGAGGCAGCAAACCACATTGCCATGTATGTACCTATGTAACAATTCTGCATGATCTGCACATGTACCCCAGCATCTAAAGTACAATAAAAAATATATTTAAAAAATAAATAAAAAGTAAAACAAAAGAAAGAAAGAAGAGAAAGGGTATAAATGTTTACTTGCTCAATTTTAAGCAGACAGTTCGGTAATGCTAATGTCTTAATATGCATCTAATATTGCTTTTTAACCTTCATAGGAACCACTTATCAAAGCTAAAGCAAGTTCTATAGTTTCACACTTCGTTTTATTATATGCAATCTGATCAACTTAATCACAAGCTATCAATTATAGATCCATTTTATAAAATTATTTTCATCTATTACTTTATTTTTGTATGCATTTATTTAAATATTTTAGAACAATGTTGACTTAATGAAATTATTTCTGATGGTGGAATAATGATGTTTATTTGCTTTCTTTTTTGTACTTACTGTATGTTTGAATTATATGACCATATTATATTTTATTTTATTTATTTTTATTTTGTTTGAGACAGAGTGTATCTTTGTCATGTGGGCTGGAGTGCAGTGGCATGACCTCGGCTCTCCACAAACTCCACCTCCCAGGCACAAGGGATTCTCTTGCCTCAACTGCCCAAGTACCTGGGATTACAGGCACTCACCACATGCCTGGATAATTTTTGTATTTTTAGTAGAGTTGGGGTTTCACCATGTTGGCCAGGCTGGTCTCGAACTCCTGTCCTCAGATGATCTGCCCACATCAGCCTCTCAAAGTGCTAGGATTACAGATGTGAGCCACTGCACCCAACCGCTATCTATTATTTTAAAAGAAGGAGAATAATTATTTACTGAGGGATCTGTGGGGATTGCTCCCATGTGAGGCCCCTAGGAAATGGGCCTCACCATATGGTGAGCTTGAGCCTGGACGCAGATCCCCAGTTGCAGGAGTCAAGCTGAGGGAAAGCAGGAACCAAGAAAGGGACGATGCTCTTCAAAATAATTAACAGACATTACTTTATGGATATGAGGACTTGAGAGGCATTGTGTCCACTTTCAGCTCCTTATGGTTTATTGTTTCATTGTGTTCATTTTGGACCCTTGTTACATTCATTGTAAAATATTAACTTAAGTATATACTGGGCGTAACTTACTGGGCATAACTTACTTACTGTAACTTACTGGGTGTAACTTACTTACCTTGACTTATTAGTTGTAACCTACTTACTGGGTGTAACCTACTTACTGGACTGGACGTAACTTACTTACAGGGCATAAGTTACTTACTGGGCGTAACTTACTCAGTGGGCTTAACTTGCTTACCTTGTGACTTAACTCAAGTATTTTGATCTGATGTACACAACATTAAGCAGAAAAATATATAATGGAACCTATTGCAAAAATAAAATTGCTGCATGAACATAGCTCATGTGGCCCTCCAGACCTTGCTCTTTTCTTTCTCCTTTTTTCCGGCATGCGCTCTCTTCCAGGTTTGGGACCCTCGCTGGACGAGATTCCCGGGTTCACATTCAGTTCACAACAATTTACATACCAAAGCTATTTATTATTTTAAAAAAGTAATCGCAAGTCAACCAACCTTTTTTCTATTATTCTTTCACGTAACAGAGGTTAAGTCCTTTAGAATAACAGCTGATGGTCTATAAATATCAATTCTGAAAGAAAACATTCAAGAAAGAAAACATCATCTAGGTAAAATATTGATTCATTTGAGGAAAGTAGTGTTTTTGAAAACACAATAGAAATGCAACAATTTACAGGATTGCTAAACTTTTTGCATAAATGAAAATTGTTTTCTAAACTAAATGTTGTCATTTACAATAGAGTTAGAGTCATGCTGATGACAATCAGAAAGTTTCAAATACCATTCTCTTAATCATAACATATCAACGAACGAGTTCAAATATTGGGAACAAGAAAACACCTGTGAGTTCCAAAATCTGACTAAACAACAACCACCCTAGGAAACACCATTTCTCTGCTCTGCGATTGTGTGAACAAGCTATAACTAAGATAGTTGACAACAATCACAAGAAAAACTAGAGGGAATGGGAAATAGTCCAGCAGATAGAAATAGCTACAAATATGACAGCCGTTATTAACGTGTGAATATTTGGGTCTATGTAAATGAGAGAATTGGGAACTTATAGATCATTCAGTGAATTCTATGATGTATCATGACGTGTTGTCTGTTGGATTCCTAATTGAACCCAAAACGATTCCTGGAGTTGGAATTTGTCTCGCTGTCCCTACCACCAGTCCCTTCACCCAGGAAGTTGGGAAGTATCGGCTTAAGAAACTTGAACTGGCTCTCAGAGCTTTCTGCCACGTAAACTTCATACTGATAATTCTGGGACAGGGTCCCGGTGCCGCTCACGTCCACCAGATGCCCTGGAAAGGGACCCTCGGTCACCGAGCAGCCACCCACAGAGGCCGCCCTGCTCCTCCTGCACAGCCGCACCGCCACGAACAGGAGCACCGAGAACAGGAAGAGCGACGACACCGAGGCCAACGCCACCACCAGGTAGACGGTGAGCGAGTCGGCCTGGGCCTGGGCCGGGGCCGCCTCCGGGAGCGGCAGGTAGGGCTGGGAGAAGCCGTCCACCAGGAGCACGTGCAGCGTGGCGGTGGCCGAGCGCGAAGGCTCGCCATTGTCCTTGACCAGCACCAGCAGCCTGTGCTTGGCCGCGTCGCGCTCGCTCAGCAGCCTGGCGGTGCGCACCTCGCCATTGTGCGCCCACACGCCGAACAGCCCGGGCTCCGTGGCCTTGAGCAGCTGGAACGACAGCCAGGCGTTCTGGCCCGAGTCGCCGTCCACCGCCACCACCTTGGTCACCAGGTAGCCCGGCTCGGCCACCCGGGGCACCAGCTCGGTGCAGGGCGCGGAGCCGTTCTGCAGCGGGTACAGCACGAAGGGCGAGTTGTCGTTGGCGTCCAGCACCAGCACGCGCACCAGCGCCTCGCTGCTCAGCGCCGGGGAGCCGCGGTCTGTGGCGCCCACGCGGAACTCGAACGCCTGCAGGGCCTCGTAGTCCAGCGACCGGAGGGCGAACAGGTGTCCGTTGTCCGCGTTGATGGAGACCAGGTAGGCGAGGGCCAGGTGCGGGTCCTGGGGCGGCAGCAGCGAGTAGGTGACCTGGGCGTTGGTGCCTGAGTCTCTGTCTGTGGCGCTGACGGTGCCGATGTGCAGGGCGGGGCTGTTGTTCTCGCGGACGAAGAGGGTGTAGGAGGTTTGAGTGAAGGCGGGGGCGTTGTCATTGACGTCGGAGACCCGCACGGTTATGCTGTGCTCGGTTTTCAGCCTGGGTGTCCCCAAGTCTGTGACAGTGATGGTGATGTTGTACTCGGCCCTGCGCTCTCTGTCTAGTGCTCCTTCTGTTAACAAGGTGTAGAAATTTTCTACGGTAGGTTTTAGAAGGAAAGGATGATGGTCTTGGATGGAACACATTATTTTTCCGTTGTTCCCGGAGTCCGGATCCGAAATTCCGAAAACAGCGACCACAGTTTCTGGGGAGTTTTCTGGAATATCACTGATGAGTAAGGACATGGTCAGTTCCGGGGCGTTGTCGTTTATATCCATCACTTCTATGACTACGGTGCATTTTTCTGAAAGACCCCCGCCGTCTGAGGCCTCAACTTCCACATGGTACGATTGAATTTCCTCAAAATCCAACACCTTTTTTAATCTAATTTCTCCTGTGATTGAGTTTATTTCAAAAGCCTGAATGATTTGATTTGAGTATTGGAAAAATGAGTAGGAGAGCTCCCCGTGGGTCCCAGCATCTAAATCTGTAGCAGAGACAGTAACGACAAGGGAACCTATAGGGGTGTTCTCTGGGACCTGCACCTCATAGAGCCGCTGAGCAAATTCAGGGGCGTTGTCATTGATATCTACAATCACTATGAGAACCTGGGAAGTCCCAGTTCTGGGCGGTGACCCACCATCCAGCGCTGTGAGGGTTAACCTGAGCTGGGGCTGCTCCTCGCGGTCCAGCGCTTGGTCCAGCACTAGCTCTGGGTATTTCTTGCCGTCGCTGTGATTGCGAGTGAAAAGGTGGAAATAGGAGTTGGTGCTAATTGTGTAGTTCTGAACTGTGTTGCTACCTACGTCCAAATCTTGAGCTATTTTCAAAGGAAATGAAGTCCCTGGATGGCTGCCTTCAGAGATTTTCAGGAGTATTTCATTTTCCAAGAATTCTGGGGCATGGTCATTTACATCTTGGAGCTGTAGTTCACCTTGAATAAACTGTACCGGATTTTTCAGTAACACCTGGAAATGCAGTATACATGGATCTGTGTCACCGCACAACTCCTCCCTGTCCAATTTTTCTTTCAGGAGCAAATTCCCACTCTTCCGTTCGAGCTGCAAATACTGTTTGTTTCCTTTGGAAAGAATCCGGGCGCCCCTCTCGGCCAGCTCCCCTACACCCAGCCCCAGATCTTTTGCTAGGTTGGCCACAAAAGAGCCGCTGTCCCTCTCTTCTAGGACTGAATAGTTAATGGTAGCGCTGCCCGCCTCCCACAGTAGTAATAAGAAAAAAATGGCAGTCACTTGCCTTTTCTCTGGCGCTTTGGGGAGCCGCGTCTCCATCATTTCTCAGGATCCAAAAGTATTTAGTCACAAAATAATTGCTTTACAGCCAACTCGGCTATCTTGATTTAGTTATGTTTAACATTGACCGACATGGCTGCCTCTTGGAAACCTTCTATCCCCAGTAGTGAAAAAATGTTTCCTTTTCGAGCTGCCAGAAAACCCGCACAGCTTTTTAGGAGACACTGATGCTGCCGTTTTTTCACTCTCTTAGCCTGCAGCGCCACCAAGCGTTCTGCTTTACAACTTCAGGTAATTTTCATTTCAAAGTACACTGTAATATTGTAATAGCTAAAATATATAGCAGGCCTTTTAGGTCATAGCCTGTTATATACTCCCTTTTCCCCCACCTATTATGAGATCTTGTTCAGGTAGCTAACAATAGTTGTGACAGCAAAAGTAATGTCTGTATCTATATTCATCTTCCTTATAAAGGTGCAAGTTCAGTACACAAAACTGCTCCAGGCAGATTCATTTATTAACAAGTATTTACCTGTAGGGACAGTCATGTAGCTTCTTGGGATAATATAATAAATGAAACATAAAAATTCTTGGTTTTGGGAAATTTACATTCTATTACAAAAATACTCATTTTTTCTATTGTACTGGAAGAAATTACGAACTTTCATCAAAACCTAGTTCCACTCTCAAATTGTAATGTGCCTGTAACTCCTGAAAGAAAATAAAAATATTATTTCTTGTTAGTCTCTGGTCTACACAACCATTGGGGATTTCGTGTTTTGAGATATGGTCTCACTCTGTCACTCAGGCTGGAGTGCAGTGGCTACAGTCCTGGCACACTGCAACCTGTAACTCCCAGGTTCCAGCCATTCTCCTGACTAGCCCCCTGAGAAGCTAGGACTACAGGCTCACACCACCATGCCTCCTGAGAAGCTGGGACTACAGGCACGTGCCACCATGCCTGGCTAATTTTTGTAGTTTTAGAAGATACGACGCTCACCATATTGGCCAGGCTGGTTTCGAACTCCTGACCTCAAGTGATCCACCCACCTTGGCTTCCTAAAGTGCTGGGATTACAGGTGTGAGCTACCATACTGGACCACCTTTTGGTATTTTTTTCCTTCATAAATTCATTATGTGCAATGCCCAGTGAAGTTTCAAGTTTAGAGAAAATGGCAATTTATTTTATTAAAAATCAATATAGGCCAGGTAAGGTGGCTCACACCTGTAATCCCAGCACTTTGGGAGGCCGAGGTGGGCAGATCACTTGAGGCCAGGAGCTCAAGACCAGCCTGGCCGGTATGGTGAAACCACAAGGCATGCACCTGTAGTCCCAGCTACTTGAGAGGCTGAGGCAGAAGAGTCACTTGAACCCTGGAGGTGGAGGTTGCAGTGAGTCAGGATCATGCCACTGCACTCCAGCCTGGGTGGCAGAGCAAGACTCCATCTCAAAAAAAAAAAATCAATATAAGCTCAGAATCTAGGCAATATTTTTTTTACAGTCATAAAGAATACAACAAAGTTGACAAAGTCAAAAATACACTTTCTGGGGAAGGTATTGACCTATCTGCATTGGACAGGACAGCACCCCCGTACATTCCCCATGATTAAGGAGATGGGGATATTGGAAAATATGACAGCTCCAACTAAAGCCGAGTGACTGGAGTGAGAAAAATGGAGGAAGAGGTCTCACCAAAGAAGAGTGATATTCTAAGGAGAAGAGGGTATATTTCTGAGAATACAAAACAGTAAATGTTTGCCACACTCACCGCCAATAAAGTTGGTATTCATCCATGACAGTGAGTTCACTTATCTGGACACAAAACACTGTCAAATATAATTTAGGTCAGCCCAGTTCCACTTCAATTAAAAATAAAAATAAAATAATCACTGAATTGCCATTTTAATATACATTGCTTGCCTTTGATATAAAGTTGAAAGAGGGATTTTTACATGAAATATCACAAATACAACTGACACAAATAAGACTATGGGCTAAACTGTGAAGGTATATGGTACTATGGTTAATACAGGCAAATGATGCTACACAACACTATAAGGGAAAATCTGATGTTACCGAATAACCTGCCACTAATACCCTACTTAGATCTTGGCAGATATCAAATATCTTCAGAAAGTGAGAGGAGAAGTTTGGCAAATATAATTTCAAAGCTTTTAAATTTTCAAATTGTTAGACAAAGATGAAGACAAAATGTGCTGTTAAGTATTTTATTTTCTATAATGGTATGTACGGTGAGTAAAGAGTGAAGAGTGTTTTCTATTTTGAAGGAAAGCAAGAGTGATTTGAGTAGGGAGTGATGTTTCATACTTTCACTCATTGGCAAGGATATTTTATTGTAAAGAGGATACTAGCATTTCTCCATTTGTAGATACTATAGTTTTTTAAAAACAATATTAGTTACATTATTAGTTAGTAACATTCAGCAAATATTTATTAAGCACTTATATCATTGGCATGATTTTTTTAAAGACCATTAGGTTCTTACAAGAGGCTCACAAACTGACTTGACCCTTCAGTAAAGTTTATATTATCAGAAAATATGAATTGATCATTATGGGATACTGAAATACTCATAGGTATGAATGGCTACCTTAGTGTTATAGCTATTATTAGTTCTTATTTTTAGTGTTACACACTGCAGGAGTTACCACAAAATGAGACATTGGAAGATTAAATAATATGAAATGCTCACATATTATAAACTGTCCTACATAGCAATAGTGAAACAACTCTTACCAATAGCTAGAAATACAATTTTACTTAAGGATTTAGAATACATTACTTTGTGGGGGAGAGGAGGAAGAATAGACAATTTCAAAAAATTTTAATTATGCAAATAAAAATTTACTTTCTGTTCATATTGTCAAATACCCTCCAGCGAAGTAATAAACTACTAAGCATGAACAGGAAATACTAAGATACCCACTATCTTCATTAAAAATTTCAACCTAAAGAATAGAGGTAAAATAAGCAAGAAACAGACCATCAATAACATGTAACTTTAAGTTAAAATAGTAAAATTTAGTAAAATAATCCCACACTTAACTGAATGGGAAGCTATTCCGAAAGGTGGGGGTTTCTTCTATTTCTCTCTCAGTGCCCTGAGGAGAGAAGTTGGGGATAATCGGCTTCAGGAACTTGAACTCACTTGTCGCGGAGCCTCCCGTCAGACACACCTCGTACTGGTAGCTCTGGGACAGGGTCCCGGTGCCGCTCACGTCCACCAGATGCCCTGGAAAGGGACCCTCGGTCACCGAGCAGCCACCCACAGAGGCCGCCCTGCTCCTCCTGCACAGCCGCACCGCCACGAACAGGAGCACCGAGAACAGGAAGAGCGACGACACCGAGGCCAACGCCACCACCAGGTAGACGGTGAGCGAGTCAGCCTGGGCCTGGGCCGGGGCCGCCTCCGGGAGCGGCAGGTAGGGCTGGGAGAAGCCGTCCACCAGGAGCACGTGCAGCGTGGCGGTGGCCGAGCGCGGAGGCTCGCCATTGTCCTTGACCAGCACCAGCAGCCTGTGCTTGGCCGCGTCGCGCTCGCTCAGCAGCCTGGCGGTGCGCACCTCGCCATTGTGCGCCCACACGCCGAACAGCCCGGGCTCCGTGGCCTTGAGCAGCTGGAACGACAGCCAGGCGTTCTGGCCCGAGTCGCCGTCCACCGCCACCACCTTGGTCACCAGGTAGCCCGGCTCGGCCACCCGGGGCACCAGCTCGGTGCAGGGCGCGGAGCCGTTCTGCAGCGGGTACAGCACGAAGGGCGAGTTGTCGTTGGCGTCCAGCACCAGCACGCGCACCAGCGCCTCGCTGCTCAGCGCCGGGGAGCCGCGGTCTGTGGCGCCCACGCGGAACTCGAACGCCTGCAGGGCCTCGTAGTCCAGCGACCGGAGGGCGAACAGGTGTCCGTTGTCCGCGTTGATGGAGACCAGGGAGGCGAGGGGCAGGTGCGGGTCCTGGGGCTGCAGCAGCGAGTAGGTGACCTGGGCGTTGGTGCCTGAGTCTCTGTCTGTGGCGCTGACGGTGCCGATGTGCAGGGCCGGGCTGTTGTTCTCGCGGACGAAGAGGGTGTAGGAGGTTTGAGTGAAGGCGGGGGCGTTGTCATTGACGTCGGAGACCCGCACGGTTATGCTGTGCTCGGTTTTAAGCCTGGGTGTCCCCAAGTCTGTGACGATGATAATGATGTTGTACTCGGCTCTGGTCTCTCTATCCAGCGCGCCTTCTGTTACTATGGTGTAGAAATTCTCCATGGAAGGTCTTAGTAGAAAGGGAAGATTGTTTTCTATTGAACAAATAACCTGTTGGTTATGTCCAGAGTCTGCATCTGAAACACTGAAAACTGCCACTATGATCTCTGGCAAGTTTTCTGGGATGGGGCTGATGAGGAACGACATGGTCAATTCAGGGGCGTTGTCATTCACGTCCAGGACCCTGACGACTAAAGAGCATTTTCCTGTTAGGCCTCCGCCATCTGTCGCCTCAACATCCACGTCATATGACTGAACTTCCTCAAAATCCAAAGCCTTTCTCAGCCGAATTTCTCCTGTGATTGCGTTTATTTCGAATGGTTGGTTGACATCATCGTCTTGAAACAGGGCGTAAGATACCTCCCCAAACGATCCTGCATCTAAATCTCTGGCTGAGACGGTAATAATTAGAGAGCCCAGGGGGTTGTTCTCAGGGACTTGCGCTTCATAGAGCTCCTGAGCAAACTCGGGGACGTTGTCATTGATGTCCAAAACCTGGATCTGAATCTCAGAGGTCCCTGACCTGGGCGGAGACCCGCCATCCAGCGCGGTGAGCGTTAGCCTGAGTCGGGGCTGCTCCTCGCGGTCCAGCGGTTTGTTCAGCACCAGCTCCGGGAACTTCCTGCCTTCGCTGCGATTCCGGGTGAGAACATGGAAGTGAGGGTTGGAGCTGATTGTGTAGCTCTGAAGGCCGTTGCTGCCAGTGTCTAAATCATGTGCCATTTTTAAAGGAAATATCTTTCCAGGCGTAGTAATTTCTGATATTTTCAGGAGCATTTTTCCGGCAGAGAATTCCGGGGCGTGGTCATTTATATCTCTGACTAGCAAGGAAGCCTGAAAAAACTGCAAGGGATTTTCCAGTAACACTTGGAAAGGTAGCACACACGGCTCAGTGGGGCCACACAGCTCCTCCCGGTCCAATTTTTCATTTAGCAGTAAATCATGGGTCTGTGGATCCAGCTGCAAATGTTGTCTGTTCCCTTTGAAAACAACCCGGGCGCCTCGTGCAGCCAGCTCCCCCACCCTCAGTCCCAGATCCTTTGTCAAGTTGGCCACAAATGTGCCACTTTCTGTCTCCTCCAATACGGAATACTGAATCGATTCAGAACCCACCTCTCCCCAAAGCACCAATAAAATGAAGAACGTCACTTGCCTTTTCTTGTTATGTGCTTTAGTTTGCTTCATGTCTATTGTTATGTCTGATTCCAGAAGAAAAATCCTTTTCAGCTCCCAATCACCACATCCCAGTCGATTCTCGGAGATGTCTTTGCTAGAAATTTTTAAATTCGTTCTTATAACTTGTCCGGCGATGACTGTCCTCCTAGACAAGTCTATCTCAGCTTTAGCTGTAAATGTGGTCTGTATTTTTACTTGGCTTCTGGGTGAAACGGAGTCCACGGAATCTGCAGAGCTTTCATCCACTCTCTTAGCCTGTACCGCCACCACGCGTCCAAACTAATAACTTCATGAGATGTTTTCAGGTCAATAGCATTTCCGAAATCTGAGTCAGTGTTTCTCAAGCTGAGTGTGTGGACCAAATGCATAAATAATTGCTTGGGAGCGTTGGTTTTTTTGTGTATGCTTTTTTTTTTTAAGCCAAGAAGTATATATGATAGATGTATCTAAGCAAAAATGTATTTAATAGAGGGACTAGAAGCAATCAAGTATTTGATAAGCATTTTAGGATTCTACTCTATTTTTGGATGGATAGAATGAGACATTGTTTTAAGAGGTTTGTGCGTTTTTTTCTAAATTTTTAAAAATCAAATTCCTCTCTTACATTATTTAATCAAGGTCCAAATTTATTACCCTGTTGTACAAACATGAGGCAATGCAGCAAGAACCACCTTCACCATCTTCTCACAGTACAAAAAAACATGTCCTATAAATATAAGGTACTGTAAAAAAGGCGAATTACATTTGAGTGAATGCTGTGGAATTCAATGATGGAATATTATGGCTATATCCATTCTCATCTCACTAGTTTCTGCTCAGATATGCTGAAAAATGTATCTCTAAATAAACTGAAAATGTATGAAATAGATTAATGCACATAGAAGAGTCAAAATATGCCAAACAATTCATTTCAGATTGATTTAGTATCTATTGAGAGATGAAATCAGTTGAGCTCAAGCAAAGTTCACTTCAGGTAAGAGCCAAGGTGAAAGAAGATTAAAAATCAGGATATTTTCAAACACATAAACTCTAGGTAAAATAAGTAAGGTTAAATAAAATCTAAACTCTGAATAGCTGAGATGGTCTTGTAGTTCAAAATTATCTCTATGTAGCCAAAAAAAACCAAAAGATTATCAGTGTGACCAGCTGCCAAATTTCACTTGATAGATGTTACTGAGAACACACTGTTCTTTGAGGATGTGAATAACAAAATGAACTTATAAGTAAAACCAACAATCATAAACATCTTGGATGGGTGTGGTTTCTTCATTGAAACAAGGCCATTATTTCCTGCTCAGTCTTAAATGCTTCCTTTTTTGAGTGGGCATTCTGAGTTCTGATTCCAGCTTAACAGCATCCGCAAAGTTTTTTATTCACTCTCTTTTCCTGAAGCACCACCAGGCATCCTCAAATATAGGTTGTTGAATTATTTTTTACTTCAAAGAAAATTTATCAACAGTACAGTATTTGCCAAATTTCATTTAGATCTTTGAAATGTCTTTGTTAACATTGACAGTTTATAGAAAGAAGATAACATCTCAAAGTACCCCAAAAAATATCAGTTGGGTCTATCAAGAAACTGCCTTTTTATAGAAAAGGGATTACATTAGATTGTTTGAGGAGAATGTGTCTCTGCTTTGCCCTCTTTTGCTTTGTTTTGATTTGCTAGAGTTGAATTAACTTTGCATTCATAAACATGTTCTCATAAGGAATCATTAACTTAAAATTTTTATTATGGAAACATACGCAAAGTAAACAGATTAAGCCTCTGTACACAATCATCTTCACGTTCTGTCTTCTTTTCCTGTCTATACCTTTCTCTCCATTCTCTGCTTCCCACTCAATGATTACTTTTGCATAGTTCTTTCCTTAAGGCAATGTTTACAGAAATTGAAATGCACCAATCTTAACTGTACCATTTTAACAAATGGATCCTTGTGTGTAACTCACTTTTTTCAAGATATAGAACATTTTCATTATGCACTGGGAATCATCTTAATCATACTTTGGCAGCTCAGTTTTATTAACTGGGGAGGAAAATCTTGGTCTCATCTGGACACATGATGGAAAAGTAGACAATGTGAAAAAGCACCATACCCCATATTCTTTATGGTCATTAGTGCCAACGTGAAGTGATAGATTAATTAGGTTGATCATTACCAGTAAGCTGAAATAGTATTTTAACTGAGGAAATGTTGTAAAGTATGTTAAACTTAATTTTATGCAGTTAGCCTGTAATTGTAAGTTCAGCAGCCCTGGTCCGAAATGCTTGAGACCAAAAGTGTTTCAGATTTCAGATTTTTATTTTAGAACATTAGCATGTACATACTGGGATATGTTGGGAATGGGACCCATGTCTAAACATGAAATTCATTTAGGTTTCATATACATCTTATACGAATAGTCTGAGGTAATTTTGTGTAATGTTTGTGAACAATTTTGTGCATGAAACAAAGTTTGCATTGTGTACTTATGTGTGGAATGTTCCACTTCTGGAATCATTATATAACCTTATGGCTACTCCTGCTTTATTCATTTATTTATTGGCTCAAAAAGTTTAGGGTTTTGGAGCATTTTCTATTTTTGAAATTTTGGATTAGGAATACGCAACCTGTACGTACTGCACAGCTGACATAGCTGATTTCCATTTTATGGTTCAGTTAATCCCATTAAAATTTTAAAACATTATTCAGCTTTATCGAAAGAGAAAGATAAAGACCTTCAAGGACAAACTGATTATTTTAAAGCTCTTCTTTATTTATATGGAAAGAAAAACACAATAATGCAGGGAAAAGATAGAGATGATATATAAGCAATCACTTAAAGAAACCCAATAAATAGGAGATATGCTGCCAGAAAGTCGATAATATAAATGATTTGATACTAAATCTCATTTGAAATCTGAGATGTTTGGGCAAAACCTTTTGTCAGTATAGCTAGAAGTTCGTTATTTTATCTTATTTTTAATGTTTTCCAAATAACTAGTTCTTTGTTTCTTTATTGCTTTCTTTATTACTTTTGCTTTAAATTTTCTTGATTTCTTCTACTGTCTTCGTCATTTCCTTCCTTCTGAATGCTTTGGGTTTATTTTCCTCATCCTTTTCTAGATTCTTGAGGTAGAAGCTTGAAATTGATAAACTAGTGGGAGATGGATTCGAGAATTTTCCTCTTTTCTAATGTATGCATTAGGTGCTGTAAAGTTTTCCTCTCTGCACCGTGTTAGCTCTGTCTCATACATTTTGATGTGTTGTATTCTCATTTTCAATTTATTTTTAAATTTCCCTTGAGATCTTCTTTTTGATTTAAAGATTCTTTGGAAGTACGTTTCTTCATATCCCCCAAGTGTTTGAAGGTTTTCCTCTTATCTTTCCGTTATTTATTTTAAGTTTAATTTAGTGCTTGGAGAACCCACTCTGTATGATTTCACTATTAATTTGGTTGAGGTTGGTTTTATGGCTGAGGATGTGATTATATATGTTCTGTGAGCTTTTGAAAATAATGTCTATTCTGGTATTGTTCATTCTGGTGTATTCTGATATTGGAGTGTTCTGGTGTATTCTAGTATTTGAGTGTTTTATAAATATTAATTAGATGCTGTTGGTTGATGATATTGAGTTCTTCTGTATCTCTGCTGATTTTTTGTCTAGTTATTCTAACAGTTGTAGAAGGTCATTGAAATGTCCAACTGTAATTGTGGATTTCTCTACTTCTGTTTCTATCAGTTTTTGCTTCATACATTTTGCAGTTTTGTATATATACATTTAGGATTGAAATGTTTTCTTCTTTTATCACTCTATAATACCCCACTCTGTCTCTGATATGTTTCATGCAGTCTGATTATTTTCTTATGCTCTCATGTCTACTTTATATGACATTATGCACTCCTGCTTTATTTATTTACTTTTGAGACAGAGTTTTGCTCTTGTTGCCCAGGCTGAAGTGCAATGGCACAGTCTCGGCTCACTGCAACCCCCACCTCCCAGGTTCAAGCAATTCTCCTGCCTCAGCCTCCTGAGCAGCTGACATTACAGGTGTGTGCCACCACACCCAGCTAATTTTTAGTAGAGGCAGGGTTTTACCATGTTGGCCAGGCTGGTCTTGAACTCCTGACCTTAGGTGATCTACCCACCTTGGCCTCCCAAATTGGTGGGATTACAGGCATGAGCCACCACACTCATCTCCTGCTTTATTTTTTTCATTAATAATTGTATATGTTTTGGCCGGGCACAGTGGCTCAAGCCTGTAATCCCAGCACTTTGGGAGGCCAAGGCGGGCGGATCACGAGGTCAAGAGATCGAGACCATCCTGGCCAACATGGTGAAACCCCGTCTCTACTAAAAATACAAAAATTAGCTGGGCGTGGTGGCGTGTGCCTGTAGTCCCAGCTACTCGGGAGGCTGAGGCAGGAGAATTGCTTGAACCCGGGAGGCGGAGGTTGTAGTGAGCCGAGATTGTGCCACTGCACTCCAGCCTGGTGCCTGGTGACAAAGTGAGATTCTGTCTCAAAAAACAATAATAATAAAAATTAAAAAAATAAAATAAAATAATTGTATACGTTTTTGTCTTTTACTTCCAATCTGCCTATATCATTATATTTGAAATTAAGTTTCTTTGAGACATACAGTTGGGTCATGATTTTTTAACTCATTCTCCCAATGTTTTTGTTTTAATTGATGTGCTCAGACCATTTACATTTAATGTAATTGTTGATTAGTAGAGATTAACATCATTTTTTGTCTCCTGTTTTTTTTTTTCTCTGTTTTCATTTTCTAACTTCCTGTGGGTTATTGGAACATTTTTTATAATTCTGTTTTGATTTAGCTGTAGTGGATTTTTTTAGTGTATCACTTTTTATAGCTTTTCTCTAGGTATTATACTAGTTACTCTAGGTATTATACTATATATACATAACTTATCAATTTACTGATGTCATTTTACTTGTTCAGTTGAAGCATAGAAAACGCACCTCCCTTTGTGTCATTTTGCCCTCCTTCATTTATAATACGTTTTAAATAATTCCTGTACATACACTTAGGACCACACTTAGAAAGTGTTATAATTTTGGATTTAACCACCAAACGTAATTTAGGAACCTCAAGAGAAAAAGAAGTCTGTTGTATTTATTCATATTTTTGTTTCCTCTGTTGTTTCTTCTTTCTTGATGCTCTAAGATTACTTTTTAAATTGTTTCCTTCTGTTTGGAGAACTTGAATTAGCAACTATTTTAAGGTAGGTATACTGGCAACAAGTTCTTTTCCTGAAGGATAGTTTCATGGATATAGGATTTGGGGATAACAGTTCTTTTCTTTCAGCACTTGAAAAATATTGTGCAACTTTCTTCTAACCTTTATGGTTTCTGAGAGGAATCTACTCTGATTCAAATTGCCATTGCCCTGTAGGTAAGGTGTCATTTCTCCTTCATTACTTTAAATATATTTTGTCTTTAGTTTGCAGAAATTTGACTATGATTTCTCTTGGTATGGATTCCTTTGGGTTTATCCCATTTGGGATTTGTTTGGCTTCTTGAATCTCTGGTTGATGCCT